GCTTTGCTCTGCACTTAGAGGTCGTCAATCCGTCTACCATCATTCAAGACGAAATACTCTAAACCAGACGAGCTCGAGCACGACAATAACGTGGTGGTCGAATAGTGCTGATTTAGTCAGACATAGTAGTGGATGCTGAGCAGCATGGAAGCATTATCGTGGGACTAGTGAGTCGCGGCCTGAGGAGCTATTTTTCCATCTGGGGCATGGATCAATGAAGAATGCTCATACTCTGCCATCCGGTGTCCACTAAATAACCCCTTGATTCGCATCAAATCTGCCGCATTATACTATCCACTCCGCTTCATCGCCTGCCTCGCTGTTGCTCTCGACTTGCAGTATCCTTAAATACGTGCTACTGGGTGACTCGGCGACTGGCAAATCGTCGCTCCTCATTCGACTCACCGACGACAGGTTTGACTTGACTGAACCCACGTTGGGCGTCGAGTTTGGGAGCAGAATTTTGAGCGTCGGTGAGGATGGCAAGCGGGTGAAAGTGCAGTGTGAGTGGAGAGCTACGTTATCTCACTTGTCGAGGACCAGAGGACCGACGGACCGGGTGCGTAGCGAGAGCCGGAGTACTACGACCCAATAAGTTGTACCTCATGCGACTATAGGCTCGGTAAAAGGTTGCTGGCAGAGGACCATCTACGACAAACTGACTGTCCATGCTCGTTTCGTCTCATCGATGCTGCAGGCTGGGATACAGCAGGCACCGAGTCGTTTCGGTCAATCACCAGATCATATTTCCGAGGAGCAGCAGGAGCTCTATTGGTGTACGATGTGACACGGAGAGAGTGTGAGTTGAAGACACAATGAACCACAAGCGAGGAACTTGGCGTACCTTTAGGAGCTATGGCCTTCGCTTCGCCATTGAGACAGGCCTGTGTGCTGATCAGCCGATTGCCTGATGTACTTGATATGTCAGCCTTCGATCACGTCACGTCCTGGCTAGAAGATCTGCGTAAGCACGCTGATGAGAACGTATCTATCATACGTGAGCTGACTCTCCCTTGTATCGAGCTTGGGATTAATGTTGATAGGGGATCCAGCTGAAGACCTTCCTTCCCTCTACAGTGGTCGCCAACAAGATAGATCTATGCTCAACAGCGCCTGCCGAGCTCCCTTCTATATCATACGGTCAACCAGTCCCATCACCTTCTACTCTGAACCCTATATCAACATCACCATCTTCGTCAACAGGGTTGCCCTCACAACCTACTTCGCCGGAGCCCTCCCAAATACTGACATCAACAAAATCTGCACCTGCGACATCCACAGGGGAAGGCCTCAGACCAAGAGCAGTGTCAACGCTAGAAGGCGCGCTGTACGCTAAAGAACATGGTCTGATGTATGTCGAAACGTCCGCGAAGGAAGGCTGGGGTGTGGTGGATGCATTTGAGTGGACAGCTAGGGAGGTTCTGGAAAAGGTCAGGAAGGGCGAGCTAGAGAGACGGAAGGTATGTGTAATGTACCTCAATTGTCCTATCGGTCGGTCGACGGCTGCACCACTTGATCTCACAGAGATCAATCTAAGCTGACCACTATGCGTTGTTTCGCCTCTACAGCCGGGTGGCGTCAAACCGAACGAGGCCAGTCCAAACAAGGGCGGAAAATGCTGTTGAACGTTGTTTCGTTGATGATCTCATCCCACTTTCTCACATCGGTACCTCTTATATCACAAGCGCAAATGAACCGGGCTCGAGTCGTATAATCACTCGCGAAAGCTACAGTAAAGTTGTTGTATCGATATCAATGCAGTACTTTCGTTCTGCAATATTCAGTCTATGTGCAAAGGGAAACACAGCACTTCCTCAGTACACGAGTTGGGTGACTCCAAAGATCAAGCGGATCTCGTCAGGAAGGTGCTCGACGGGATCTGAATTCGCTTGTGGTGCATAGATCTAGCCCCCAACAGAGTCAGAGCGCTGTTGATGCCATCAAGCGCACCGTGCTCGCAGCGACTTCGGACATTGCTTGCCCTGTGGCGTTTTGATGGTCGTGAGGGAAAGTAAAGCTTGTCCATACACCATCATGTCCGCCAAATTGGTTCTGGCCAGTTTGTATCACTCATCGTGTCCATCATCGATGTCCATCTTAGACTTTGTAACCCGATCGATACAACGACCCAGCCATGAGTACAGCACGATGACAACCAATTCATCAACAGCAGACCGCACCGACATCATCTTGTCTATGGCGCATACGTGAGCAGTTTTTGTTCATGCTCACTCCGCTTGCTAGAATGACCTGACGTGACAACCTGACATACTATGGGACGAGCCTGAACGAGGACTACATGCAACAGATCGTCCAACGAACCAAGACGTACGAATTCCGAAAACGCCTCTACCCTCCCTCGGTGAAGCGGATATGGTTCTATGAGACAGCCCCGATATCGTCCATCACATATATATGCGAGATTGACCCTGCCCATACCCGTCCCCCTCCCACCATGCCATCTCCATCTCCATCTTCTCACGATCGACACCAGCCTCAACTTCCCTCAGACGGCATAGGGAATAAAGAATACAACGAATACTCGTAGTCACGTGATTTTCGGACACACCAGTTTTCAGGACATCGCGTTATCTCGTCATCTCGATGTCACTCTTGACTTTGAATCCTCATAACTTCATCAATATCGATCGTTATGCTTAGCAATATAGATCAGGCGGTAGCCTGGAAGCGAGAGCATCCTCAGGACTCTTTCAGAGAGATCGCCAAGCAGTTTGAAGTCTCAAAATCGACCTTGCAGAGCCGATACACCCATGTTCACCTCGACCATGTCTCCGGCGCTCATGGAGCGCTCAGTAACCTACAGGAGGAGCATCTCCTCAATAAGATCAACGATTACGCAACTAGAGGGACTCTCCTGACACCCCGGCATGTCAGGACGTTCGCAGAAGCGATCTGCGACCATCAGCTCGGCATCAATTGGACTTCTCGCTTCGTCAAGCGCCATAAAGACCGAATCCACTCCCGATATTTCACTTTTCAGGAGAATGCTAGGCTCAAGGCGGACAAGAGAGAGACTAGGAAGGCATTCTTCAACCTTGTGAGTCTCCCTGAGGTGTTTTCAAAGCTCTAGCTGTCCTGTATCGATTGCTAGGGCTGATCTTGTTGCTGACGTTATCCTCACAGATCAAGGAAGTCTATGACAGCGGTCTATATCGATCTGATCTCGTATTCAACATGGATGAAGCTCCCTTCGACCTTGGCTATGAGCGCCGAGCCCGCAGGATCGCTCCAAAGGACATCCCACATAACAGTCAAGGTGTACCGCCCTCTGGGGAGCACATCACGTCAGTTGGCTGTATCGGCACCACTGCTGCTCCTGTCCCTCCGCTTATTATCTATAAAGGCAAGACCGTACAGACCACCTGGATGGCCAACGAGGACCAGGGGGTCCACCAGCTCGCTATCTGCTCCGATTCAGGCTGGTCCAATAGCCATATCCAAATGGTGTGGCTCAGAGACGCTTTCGATAAGTACACCAAGCACCTAACTCGTAATTATCGCGACAGACGCCTTCTCTTCCTCGATGGGGCTGAATTCCACATCAAAGCCGCCTTCCTAGAAGCCTGTCGAGACCTGAACGTCACGGTGATCATCTTGCCAGCCCATCTCACCGGTAGATTTCAACCGCTAGACGTCGACTTCTTCAACCAGCTAAAGGCTCGCTATTACCGTCAATTGAACGACCACCAAGTCGCTAGTCATGCTCAGAGAGCTCTGAAGGGTAACTTCTGGCTCTGGCACCAGATAGCATGGCGGGACACCGCTACATCTCGACAGATCCGCTCTGCGTGGGAGAAATCAGGTATTTGGCCGCCCAATCGAGAGCTATTCGAGATATCAAGCCCCGAATTCGCTACGCCGCCACTGCAGCAAGCAGATCCCTTCCCTACACCTCAGACTGTCCGTATGATTCAAGCCGACAAGCGAGCAGTCCGACAGCTGCGTAAAGAGCCCTCGGGCGTGCTCGAGAAGACGCAGAAGGCTCTGGAAATCGCTCTGACCGACAACGCCTTCCTCAGGAAAGCTAACACCGATCTCCATGAAGTCAATAAGCAGACCTTAGCCGCCAAGGGGCCTCGCCAGAAGCAGAGCTATCCTGAAGGCGGCTTATTTGATAACAAGTACCACGAAGAGCACCAAGCAGAGCTCCATGAGAGAAGGGAGAAGGAGAGCGGTGCAGCAGAGCAGAGGAAGCGTAAAGCTCAGGAAGGAGGGACCGTGCATGCTTCTAAATCGGTACGCACCTTGGCACCAGGTCCCTACACTACTGCTCAAGATTTGGGAGCGCTACTATCAGAGGATGAAGAGTTATAGAGGAATATGCATCAATATGAAGGTATGTGGCACCTGTCCGAAATCCTGGTGTGTCCGAGAAAGCGGTGACTACGAGTATCACCCGGATTTTCAAGGTTTCGATTACGCTTATAGGATCAAGAGCTGCTACAAGCTCAGAGCGCCCATCACTCTCGATCAGATGAAGGAACGTTATGGGATCGGTGGAGCGCCGAGGGGCATGGTGTACGTGCCAGAGGGGATGAAGGCGGGTATCAAGTGGGACCAACAGGAATTGATCTGGCGTGAAAAGACAACCATCGTTGAATGACGAAGGAGCCGATCACCCCCAGAAAGAGTCTATCGTAATGCAGCGGTGATGGAACCTGACCATCATATTGTACCATAGAGCAGCAGGTCACCGCACAAGTGTAGAGTACGCAGAGGAATAGCACACCAGAGCCGCATGGTGGAGAGCGTCGAGACGTCACCGACTCTTACACTCGTCTGACCGAGTTCGCTTGCGCTTCGTCGTCTCAGCGGCTGAAGCAGACATCTTCAGGATGAGTGGTCCACGGAACAGACTTATTGAATACGAAGCTGAGGACTAGCGGACAGGACAAAGCCAGCTGCAGCCCAGAGCAACAAGCTGTGGAGAGGGATACAAAGTATATATTTGACCCGTAATTCACAGTTTCATTGAAATCGGCGACATAGCTCAGTTGGGAGAGCGCACGACTGAAGTATCTACGTGATCTTTCTTCGTGCGGTCCCTGGTTCGATCCCGGGTGGTGCCATACTTTTTGTTTTTTTTTTCCCGCGGTCCGCCTCATATCTGACGATCGTCATTTCCCAGCCTTACATCTTTCTGGGCGTTATCTTCTAGCCATGTTGAAGTGCTTGTTTCGTCTGCGAGAATATATGAATGGCAGACTATTGAACGGCCTAGTCTGCTGCGTTTTGTGAGCACGAAGCGCGGGCCCGAAGCGATGGCATTGGCCAAAAGCTGATCCCTCAGTCGACGCACATGATACGGGAGCAAGCGGTTTTGCGTCTGAAACCTGTAGCGATCGTATGTCGTGCGTGGCCTGGGCATGAATATGAGACGATGAACATATAGATCTATGCATATCTGAGGCAATGGATATGAGACGATGGAACATATAGATCTATGCATATCTGAGCCAATGGATATGTAGGACGTGAACCATCCTACAGGTATAACAAAGATCAAGCGTTCATGGCGTCTTCCTCGTTCATGCCCTCCACGGACTTAACGGCGTTGTCGACGGCCTCGCCAACGAGTGCGACACCTGCGAGACCCTCTCCCTCAGCCTCGGGGACTTCGGCGACCTCGCCTTCGCCCTTGCCTTCAGCGGCGGACTTAGGCTTAGCTTGGGAAGGAGGGGGCTTGCAGATGTCTTCGCCGAATGTTCGAAGCGAGAGGATGCTGTGATGGGGGAATAGATAGTATCGGTCAGCCCCGGGTGCCACCATGTTCACAGATTGCAAAGGACGAGTCATGGTCAAGACAGGGGTGGGGAGAAACACACCTCTTCTCCCGCTTGTCGATCATCAGACTCAAGCTCATCTTGGCCTTCCAGACAGGCAACCACATAGGTAGCCTCAACTCCCCGCCGTCCGACTTGCCCGCTTCAAACTTGACCACCTCGCATCCCATGTCTCTGCTCTCCAGTGCTTTCTTGAAGTCTGTGTCCTGGAATCGATCGAGCGCGGGATAATGGTCCTCCAGTAGTGTTCGCAAATCGCCCAGACTGGCGCTAATTACGATACCGTCACCAACGTGAGGCAGGACCTCGAGGATACCGTCGACGGGAGTTCGCCATTTACATCGGATCTCGGTACGCTGCTGTGAGTCCTGTCGGGCGAAACATTTTACACCGGCCGAAACGATTCGCAGTCTCGTGTAGTCGTTGTGTTGGATGATGTCCTGCATGAAGCAGAAAAAGGAACCTTGGTCAGCTGTCGTGTGACGCTGTCAGATGAGTAAGGGACAACGGTCCTTTCACTCACCTTGACAATGTCGTTTGTCAGGTACATGGTTCGCAGGGGGTCACCGTAGTCATTCCTGACCATCAGATTGTCCTTGGGGAACGTGTCCTTGAACTTGAAGCGCTCGCTGTGATCAACAACTATCATTAGCATTCCAACATCCAGGCTCGAAACACGAATCTTGACGTGTCACGTACATCAAGCTCTTGACCTCATCATGGTTGGGATCGACGTATGACAGAGGATCCTCCCTGAAGGACAAGTCTCTCTTCTCCTTCTTCTCCTGCTTGGGAGCTGTTGGTGCAGGAGTAGAAGCAGAAGGGGTAGCCTCGCCCTCGGTGACCTCAGCAGAAGCAGCGGCAGTCTTGGTCTCAGGCTCGGGAGACGTCTCTCTCGCTCTCTTCGTGTCAACTTCAGGAGCGGGCGAAGTTGCGGATCGCTTGAGGGTCGAAGAAGAAGAGGAAGCAGCAGTCGCAGCGGTAGTGTCGGCAGGAGTGGCGTTGCTCGAAGGGGTAAGACTAGCCTTTTGCAGTACACAAACGAAGAAACCACCAGTGTTCTGGTCGTGGGGGAGAAGCCGCATACTGCAAGAAGCGATAGCGGTCAGTTCACATTGGAATTCGCCTCAAAAGCCAGATAAGGTGCGATCGACTCACCATCTTTCCAGGTTGAGCTCCTTGGCATTGGCCGGAGGCCAAAGCGTTCTCGGCAGACCCCTTCCTCGGTCATTCTCCTTTTCGATACCGCTTTCCACAGCCTTCCTGTACTCCTCGTACGACTCGTACCAGGTCAACTCCTTCTTCTTATATTCGGGCTGGGTGCCGACCTTCCAGGAGCTCATACCGGCTCTTCGCTTCAGCTCAGGCATCTCAGCCGAGACATCCACGATGGAGAATTTGCCAGGCCGGTTGTTCAGCGCAGCGGCGATGACAGACTCGTCCTCTGACGGATTGAAGGAACAGGTCGAGTAGACAAGTCGGCCGCCGGGCTTGAGCATTGTCATAGCTCGCTCAAGGATTCGAAGCTGGAGTCTGTAAGTTAAGAGCCGACAAGGGTCAGCTAACACTTCAAGATACCATTGAATGTTGGCGGTGAGCGTAACGTACGAGTGGAGACTGTTACCATCCGCAGCACCCCATTTGCTCCAGATCTCGATGTTCTTCCTCAATGTACCATCGCCGCTACATCTGCAGTCCATAAAGCAACACTCATGTTAGCCCTGATCTTCCAGAGTGCTCAATCATTGCACTCACGGAACGTCCGCCAAGATCCTGTCGAATTGCAAGTTCTTGCCTCCAGACAGCTTGATAGCAGGGAACATAGCTATACCACAAGCACAATCATCAGTTACCTGTATCCGACCGCAGCCCTGCAAGCCAACTCACAAGCATCAAAGTTGGTGACTATCAGACCCCTGCTCGGCATTCGTCCGGTCTGATGTACGAGCATATGGGTACGCTTGTAGTCCGAATCATTCGCGATGAGGAGACCGGTAGAAGTTGTGTGATGCGGGTTCAAAGCTTCGATGATTTGAGCAGTCTGGATGATCGTTCGTGTCAGCCGATAGACGTGATGTATGGCAGAACACGGAAACCCACCTTGGATCCGGGGGCAGCACACATGTCCAGACACTGTTGAACGCAATCAGCGAAATTCGTAAGTAGGAACAAAACACGCAAGAATGACGGACGTAGTGATGAGGCTCGACATCGAGGAAGAGAGGAGGGATCATCGAGACGGCTTCTTGTCTGCTCAAGTTTCCCTACGAAAGACGTCAGCCGATTTTCTTGCCATAACCAACCATTCAGCAAGTACTCACAACCTCGGTCTCGCCAACGAGGAATCGCTGGAAAGCCTTGAATGGCTCAGTCTTCCTTACGACTCGCTTGGGCGCTTCGATCTGCCACGCAAGCTGTCCGGGGTACCTGTGAGTAGTGTCATGCGTTGAGCTCTTGTATCGCCGGTGCCTAAAAGATAATGACTCACCATGGCAGCTGCGATGGGGGGTCATACTTCTTTCCCTCAAACTCCACGTTCTGCATGTTTGGCACATAGCTCTCCTTGATGATGTCGTTGATGGTCTCGGCGTGACTGCGATCCCCATTATAAGCATTTTTCGGTCTGTGTGGTTGCCGTGATACGGAAATGCTCACGCTCTAGAGCCAGTGACTCGGAACGTGACCGGCAACTCCACCCTGAGAGAGTCGATGAATCGAGGCCATTCATCTTCGTTCATGATTCCCTGAGCCTATCAGACAACGAGATCTCGGTCAGCTATTGTCAAAGCTCATGTTGCAAGCTCAGCAGAAGGAAGCTGACCTTATAGTAAGCCTCAAAGGCGGCATTGGTCTTCTCGGCCGGGGTGAGCGACTTCCAATCGCCCTGGTTGGTATCTCGGCTCATGGGCTGACGAGCTCCGCCTCGCTGCTACACGACAAGTCGGCGACAATCAGCTGTGCGCCCCCTCATGGAACGCGAAGTAGCTCCCACTCACAGCGCCCTTCTTTCCTCGGTGTTTGCCCATTTTAGTAGTCCGGTTATTAAGTTACGAGGGGTCTTAGTGAGGTTATGAGATCCGAATTGATCTCTTTCAATGTATGTTGACACGATACAGCTTGTCTTCTGGTGCGTTGGAAACCAGCCGATCGGAAAAAAGATCGAAACCACGTGACCCGAAAGGTGTTGCCACGTGTTGAGCACGATTCACGTCAACATTGGACTTACCATGAAAGTTGGACGATATCAAGCGCGTCCACCTTACCTACCTCCTTCTTAAGAGTGACCTCAAGTCGTTCAATCGGTCTATCTCACCAAGAGGTAGCTGGCCGATTCCAAGAAAGACCTTTGTCTTCACACCAGGGCTACAACAGACCCGATCTTTGCATCGCGGTAACGCCGATTATCGTCACTATGCCGGTCGAGTTCTACGGCAATCGGATCACGCTTCTCACCACAGATACTCCACCCTCGAGGGGCGGCCCGTCTTCATCCTCGCAATCACAGGATATTTTCAGGCGATCTTCGGGATCAACATCGCACGCCCAACCAATTATCATCGAGAGCGATGACGAAGAACCTCCAGTACAAGCTGTGCCTGCTAGTAGGGCGAGCAACGGCGTGAAGAGCGAGATGAGTATGAAAGGGGGAAGAGTGATAGGTGCAGGGAGTGGCAAACCTCTGGACATGGAAGCGAAGGAAGCTATACGCATGCAATTGACCAGCCTTGACGCGGAGGTGAGTTGAAACTCCAACAAGGATTACTACAGCAGAGGTTAGCACATTCCATACTGATAACACACATATGGCAACAGATCAAATCGGTAGAAGAGCAGCTGCGGCCCCTACAAGAGCTGCACTCACGCTTGGTGTCAGACAGAACGAACCTCGAAGCACAACTGTCTGCTTCAGCCCATCTGCCCAAATCCACGGCCTCGACGTCCAAACTCCCTTCTCATTCTGGCACAATAGATTACCAGAACTCCGAATTCCCTTTCTCGCCAGCCATCCTTCAGACGCTTAAAACGACTTTTCATCTATCGTCCTTCAGACTATGTCAGGAAGGGGTCATCAGCGCTGCTGTGGACAACAGAGATATTGTCTGCGTCATGCCGACAGGAGGCGGCAAAAGTTTAACATATCAGCTACCGGCGGTTATGGGTAGGGGGTTGACAGTCGTCATAAGCCCTCTCCTGGCCCTGATCTGGGATCAAGTGAGAGCTCTGAAGGAGATCGGAATAGAATGCGTAGTAGGTCGCTCTACATTGAGCTCCGCTTGCAGAAACAA